TAAATTTAAAAAATAATTTATAAAGATTATTGAAGTATCAACAACCTATTGGTTCGAGTAGAAGGAGTTTGATTCTCCTTAAATAAGATTTAGAGTTCGAGTTTTATGAATGGAGAAACAAGCGTTGTAAGAGCTTTCCCTTAATGGAGACCTACGCGGCTCAAATTTCAAATTAGTCAGAACCCAATGTGATTATCGAATATTAGAAGGTTAATACAAAAAAAAAGACCATTGAAGTAAAATATATTATTAATTAAAATAAAAAATATATCATTATTGCATTAAAAAAATACTTGAGGATATGTATATTACATAAGGGAAATGCTTTTTGTACAATTTTTTTATATAACTTGACGTATCATTAAAATGATTGATTCTTTTAATTTATGTGGAACTCGTGATATTGAATGCACCCACTCATTTAATGACATGTGAAAGTTGTATAAAAAGCTTGTTCAAAATGGTTGTCCTTATAGCACCATCCATTGTATAATATTAATTAATTAATTTAAAAAATTTATTATTATTGAAAACAAACGAAGTAAAGGAAAAAAAAAAAAAACATGCAAAGGTGTGCAGATGCAATGCCACGAAAGCCGATGACAAATGGCGTCACGAAGTCCATTAGTGGAAGGGCTAATTTGCTCTTTAGATGGGGTTTGAGGGCTTATCTGTCACTTTTTTAGTTTAGGGGCTTATCATTAGCTGTAGAAAAAGTTGAGAGGCTTAACAAGGGTTTTTGTCCTTTCTAAAAGCTCTCTCATGACAGGGAATAATATAAAAATTTTGTCTTTATTTTATTTTTTGAAAAGAACAATAAAAAGAACTCTCATTGTACATCTTTTAATAATTTACATGTCGAATGATGATTAGAGAAAAACCTATTAGAGCATATATAATAATATTTTCTTTCTTTGTTTTCTTTCTTTTTAAACATAAAAAAATTGAGAAAGGCAAGGATGACATTATAAAAAATTGAAGGTTTAACACCCAATTTGGTCCCTAACCCAATTTGGTCCCTAAACTTTTTTATTTCTGAACTTAGTTCATTCTTTAACTTTAGAAAGCACCCAAATCATTCTTAAACTTTCTTTTCCCGTAACCCAAATAGTCCTTAAACTTTCTTTTCTCGTAACCCAAATGGTCCTTCCATTGATGGAACTGCATGCCTACACGTTAAGTCTCCACCAATTATCTCTTTTAATTTTCATAAGTTTATGTGGAAAAAACATCACACCCAATTGAAGACATGGCAACAATTTCATTCCATGACTACGAAACATTGGATGACCGTGGAAAAGAAGTGAGATTCCCTGCTTAGGTTCGCAGGACGACAGGTCCACTACCATTAACGTTCTTCTCTGGCACCATGCATCCTCCCCTTTCCTCTTTCCTCTCTTTATCTTCATCTTCTCCCCATTCCTCATCGTCGCATCCATTCCTCTCCGACTAAACAACATCCAAATCCTATAAGTACGCATCTCCCTTTCTCTCTCCTTCTCGTAACCCATCACGTACCCATCCTCCTCCTCCTCCTTTGATCTCAACTTCTTTGTTTTATTAGGACGTGTTGAAGGGTATTGCATCAAGTCAAAAGTGAGATTTCGACCGACTTAACTTCTCCAAATTGCAAGTGAGCAAGGTCAAATTTGGGACCAACAGGAGATTTGACTTCTGGATCTGATTTGGAAAGAGTTATTTTCTTTTCAAATCCCTCAATGAAGTAGCTTCCTAGAACAAGTTCAAGAAATGAGGTGCTGATTTTGAGGATTTCATTAGGGAAGTTAGTTCAAAAACAAAATTTGATTCATTTAAAGTGGAGGGTCCATTTGAGCTCCCTCTCGCTAGCCAAAATCAAGCCTCTCTACAGTTGCTAATAGCTTCCTGGAATGAATTTCTTGCCATGTCATCAATTCGGTGTGGTGTTTTTTCCACGTAACCTTGTGAAAATTAAAAGAGGTAATTGGTGGAGACTTAATGTGCCAGGTGTATACTTCCATGTTGGAAGAACCATTTGAATTACGGAAAAATAAAGTTTAAGGATGATTTAGGTGCTTCCTAAAGTTAAAGAATGAATTAAGTTTAGAAATAAAAGTTTAGGGACCAAATTGGGTATTAAACCAAAATTGAACCATAATAACGTCTATGGCAAAATGTATCCTACCAATGCAGTCACAACTGCAAGTG